AAAAAAAAAAAAAAAAAAAGGTAAACAGACCTAAAAATTGTCTGTGCTTCACTGAATGAAGGCATTAGCATATGCAGGCTTATGTCATCAGTTTTCATCTGGTGGTCACAGAGCAAAGTCCTTGCAAAATGACTCTAGCCTTTCATAGATAATTTTAGATTTTAATTCATTTTTTCTCTCCAGTAGATAAAGGGCTAGTGCATTTCACCTTAAATAACCTGAGGATGTAAATTACAATCCAATGTCTTGAAAAAGGGCACCACCTATGCACTGATGGAGATATAATTGCACAGAACTCTAGAAACAGACTGTATGTTAAGAGGCAGTATCTTGCCTGCTTCATCAGTTTTTCTATACTCTGAAAAGAAGATGACATCACTACATCTAATCATATTTGTCATGTCCAATGTATTCTATTATAAGCTTAAAACCTGCATATTAAATATCACTGATCAGATAAAAATTTGAGCTTATTAGTAATGGTTTAGTTCACTTCTCAAAAAGACATAAACAGTATTTTCAAGACTTCTAGAGATATATCGGGATGAGCATATGTAGGGGTGCGTAAGGACACAGCATTGTGTGAATGCTTCTTTATGGAGGTTGTATTAAAGGGTAAAAATCTGGCAGCAATCACAAATTCTGGATCATCATTCTCCATCTGGTAGGATTTTGAGAGCTAGGAGAATCAACGCCCCAGTGGGCTTGTGTCAACAGCAAGAATGTCAGTGGCCATGGCTGTTCTCCTTCCAGCACCCTCGTCCCAACCCTCTTCACACACACACACACACACACACACACACGCACACGCACACGCACACACACACATGCGCGCACAGTCTAACCCAGCTTTATCCACAGGCTTCGAGAGTGCTTTGATGATTGTTCTAATTTGACTCCATCTGTACAATGAATGTGGCTAAACAAAAAAGAAACCTCAGAAGATTCTTTCAAACTAAACCCATTAGACCCAGACAGGTCAAATGAAGTTATGGATCCAGGGATTCTAAGACTCTGGAAGGCATTTGTGGCTCCTGCAAATCAGTGGCACAGATGAAAACACCAAAATAAGAATGTCTGCCCAGTGTGGCACAGCTCTGAGCAGCAGCGCACTGCCAGAGCCCCGGGGAAGCAGGCCAGAAGCCCAAACGGAGAGTCCCCTGGGGAAAGGAAAGGAACACACTTCCCAGCTCGCCAGCTGCTAGGAAAGCACATCTATACAGACACAGACACCAGGACCTTCCTACTTATCAAGCGCTCTATGCTTAGGCATTCATCCATACATGGGCATAAATAAAGGTGAGTTTGGTCAAGTGCTGTGACACATACTAGGAATTCATGTATCAGGAATAAACCACATACTGCCTTTGCTGTATAGCGTCAATGCAGCACAAATAACGATACAAATTGCCTCATTCACTGAGGCCGCAATACTATGCTATGCTATGTTCCTGAAATTCATTATCTCGAAATCTCAAAACAACACATCAAGGGAGAATTATTTTCCCTTGTTTTTATGTTGAAGAAACTTAAGCATAGAGGTTAAGAAACTCCTCATTGGCAGAGCTTCAAATGACAGGGCGTGATTTGAACACAGGTCTATCTGCACCTCACCTAAGCTTACTAACCTACTTCACATGTACCCTTTTTCTTCAGGTGTTGACAATAGCAACTGCATTTCACAGGCTTTGTTCCCAACTCTAGAGGGATGGACATCCTCAGCTTCCGGCAATGCCCACCTGGCCCTGGTGTTATTTTTCATGGTCCCCAGAGAGTGTCTTGGAAATACTACAGAATATACTGTGTCACATATCTCATGACATCCGTCCTTTTTCTCCTCCCACCCCCATAACCTGCCCCAGTGCCACCTTTTCCAGGCACCCCCATGAGGATGACCCATGTGCTGGCTTCCCATAGGGGCCATGGGAGGGCCAGGCACCTCCGGGTCCAGCCCTCTGTGCAACCAAGCTGACCAGCAGGGCTCAAGCGAGGAGTCCTTCCTTATCCCATCAGCCTCACACTTTGCAGTCAGGGCACCAAGCAGAGCTCCTTCTGTCCACCAGGGTGGTGATGAGATCAGTTTTCTGTTTGAGGACGATCCAGGTGACAAGCACCATATTATATTCTGAATATCTCTTCCCTCAGGCTATGTTAACTAAGCCTTTGTCACTCATTAACTTCCTCTTCTCATAGGTTGTGTTTCTTCAGGAAGCTCTGGCCCCATGCATGTGCCAGATGTGCCAAGTACAGCCCAGTGGAGGACAGATGTCCAGGAGACCCAGTCTGGGCTCCCTCACTACACGCGCGCGCACACACACACACACACACACACACGCACCTTTCTCAAAGTGAATATCTCTTCTGTCCAAACCAACAACTGTGTATCTTTGCCAGAACAGAAGCCGTAACTTGTGTGTGACCCATACTTAAGCCATGCGAGCAGTTTTTACCTTGAGACTGAGCATGCAAATCGTCACATCCTTTCCAGGAAAGGCTGCATATCATAAGATTTGCCTGAAAGTTCCAGCCACAGGAAATGCAAACGAGAAGGCCAGGGAGGATGGACGATGCAGTGCTCAAGCCACGCTGAGGATCCTAATGCAATCTCCCCTTTAAGAAAAGGGATAGCATGGGGAGAAATGCCAGATATAGGTGAAGGGGAGGAAGGCAGCAAATCACACTGCCATGTGTGTACCTATGCAACAATCTTGCATGTTCTTCACATGTACCCCAAAACCTAAAATGCAATAAAAACTAAATAAATAAAATAAAATAAAATAAAACTTGAAAAAAAAAAAAAGAAAAGGGACGATGATGGGCAGTGATAAGGGAAGATGGAGAGAGGAAAGGAGGATGGCCTCCCTCCATGGTGAGCCCATGGCCCCAAGGGAACCAATATACTTCCTCATTCCCCCAAGGCCAAGCAGCCAGAGGATGCCAGCGCTGTGGGGTCTGCAGAGAGCAGGAAGCCTCAGCACAGGGTGGAGCAGTACTACCGTGGGAGTGAGTTTCACAGCAAGACAGGGCACAGGGTGGCTGCCTGGCAGCCTGAGCCCTTCTGACTTCCCAGAGCCCAGGCCTTCCCTGGCAGCTTGGATCACCTTTCCCTTCAATGTATTTCACTGTTTACATAAATGCATGAATGTATTCCTTCATTCAATGTTCTACACATATGTGTTGAATATTTAGTCTGTGCCAGGCATTCTTCTGGGCACTTGGGCAGGGCATGAAATAAACCAAGCAAACATCTCTACCTCCTTGAGCCTCTGTTTTCCTGGAGCGAGACGGGCAACAAGGATAATAAGTGAGCAAGCTATTGCTAAGGTGGAAAGCGGGAAGCGTTCTGGAGGAAAGTAACATAGGAAGGAGCGTAGGGAGTGTGGGGACCTGGGGAAGCAGCTTATCCAAGAGTCCGAGGAAAGGCCTCCCTGTGAAAGGGGCCAGGAGGAAAGATCTGGAAGGGTGACAGCAGGTGAGGTCCTGCAGTGGGAGCATGCGTAGGACAGTTAAGAGCTGGCAAGAGGGCCAGGGTAGCCAGAGAGGAGTCAGCGAA